GTACAAGATCTTTTACTCAAGTACAAGTACTTTTACTCAAGTCCAAGATCTAAGTACTTTTACTCAAGTAGATCTGTGTACTTCTACTTTTACTATATTTTGATGCTAATACTTTTCTACTTTACTTAGTATCACCATCTGAAAGTAATGTAACCAGATTACTTTCCGTTACATTTGGACGACCTCAACATTAAATGCAACAAAAAGAGAGAAATATCAATAATATGTTGTTTACTTCTTATGTACTTATAAGACAACAGAACAATGGACCTTAGAAAAGAAGAAACTAGCATATTTAGGATCAAAAATGTGTCTCTTAAATTGAAGCTAGACCTACAGAACAGTAGAGCTTACTCTACAATAAGTGTTTTAGTTTAATACATGAATTAAAAGCATTGTTTTAATAAATCAGGTGTCCACATATTGCAATAAAAATGTAGTAAAACAAATTAAGGTAACTGAAATGAAAACCAAAGAGACAATTAACATTGTAATCCTGCAAGTAATCCCCGTTTCTTAAACAGGTAATGTGAGTAAGTCTTTTCTTAAATGTACTGTGAATGCTTTTTTTTGTTATTCAGACTTAATCCCTTTACATGTAATCCGTTTCTCCCCAAGGCTGATTTATGTGTTTAAATTATAATGACCTCGTCCAAGAAGGTTTTTGGTTCTGTTGGTTTCTCGGTATGTCAGTAGGTTTGAGACAAAAAAATACTGTCTTTCAGATTTCAGTAAAACTTGGAAAGGTCTAGCTTGGGCGACGAAAAAATAACATTTATTTTGAATGGAATCACATGGCAGAGATACACATTCCCTTGAGCTAATGTTTGGCTTACTAATTCACGTATTCCTTTGTCAATGAAAGACGATAAAGAAGCTAGCAGTGGTTTGCTATTGGCTGTAGAAGGGATACTAGAAATACCCCTGCTCTGTGTGACAGTTTAAATTCAATCCCTGTTTGACTAATCGTATTACATCCCTTCATGCGGTGCTAACAATCATCATTTCCTCCTCCATGAAAGCCTCTCTCAGAGCGTCAGGCAGGTCTTTCAGCTCCATCTCGTCTGTCTCTTATCACCTCTCATCAGCAGGGGTGGAGAGAGAGGTTGGAAGTGGGAGGGGGGGGTCTGTGAAAAAAGGAGAGCCCAAAGAAGGCAGCATCCTTATCAAACGCCCGGCTGCTGAGCCTGGGTTAAAAATAGAAAAACCCGCGGAGATTGGCATCGATTTCTGCAGGCGTCGACGTCCCGATTGGCAGCAGCTCGGCCATCGAGGGAATCCGCCAGACTGCCTATGATGAGATGAGATGGAAGATAACTTCTGACGAGCCCTCCACATCTCTAATCACACACACACAGAAAAGTAATTACCCACATGCACACACCACTACTCGCTGCCCCCTGAGCAAAGTAATGGCACGTTGGCTGGCTGAGCATCCACCTGTCCGCTGTCTCCTGCCAAGTCAGAGCTCATGTGCTGACACGCATACAAAATACCTCTGGATGTCCCTCCACAGCCACCGTCCGCCGTCCTTAAGGGTTATCTCACTAAATGATCTTCCGTCAGTAAATAGGGCCTAATATCCATGAGGCTGGGGGCTGTCCTTAGTTTTACTGTAAATGACTCCACTAAGTGATTACTGTTATCACTCCGCTTTACTGCACTCCTTCTCCCTGAAGTGTCAGCAGTCATTCAGTGAAGAAGTGCCTGGCATGCTGATATCTATATTTCAAGGATGCAGAGGTGGGAAGTAACTAAGTACATTTACTCAAGTACTGTACTTTACTTGCCCATTTTGTGCTACTTTGTACTTCTACTTCCACTACAATTCAGAGGTAAATTGTGTACTTGTATTCCACTGCATGTATTTAACACCGTTAGTTACTTTACAGATGTGGATGAATGATGTGAAATATAATCAAGTGTTAAATCAGACTTTAGTTCCATCCATCCATCTTCTCCCGCTTATCCGTGGTCGGGTCGCGGGGGTAGCAGTTCCAGCAGAGATCCCCAACTTTCTTTTCCCTGGCGACATCAACCAGCTCTGACTGGGGGATCCCAAGGCGCTCCCAGGCCAGCGAAGAGATATAATCCCTCCACCTGGTCCTAGGTCTACCCCTTGGTCTCTTCCCAGCTGGACGTGCCTGGAACACCTCCCTAGGGAGGCGCCCAGGTGGCATCCTAACTAGGTGCCCGAACCACCTCAACTGGCTCCTTTCGACGCGAAGGAGGAGCGGCTCAACTCCGAGTCCCTCCCTGATGACCGAACTTCTCACCTTATCCCTAAGGGAGACGCCAGCCACCCTGCGGAGAAAACCCATCTCGGCCGCTTGTATCCGCGACTTTAGTTCCACCTGGAGTAAAATCCACAAGCTACCCTGCAGTATACAAAGTCATTCAAACTAGCTGCTCCTTTACCAGCTTTGAGAACACTTTCATGATCAATCATTATAAAACATATCATATATATTATTCTGAAATGGACCAATCTGCACAACGACTACTTTTACTGTCGCTACTTTCACTATATTTTGATGAGAATACTTTCCTACTTTTACTTGAGGAACATTTGAATGCAGGACTTTTACTGTAACAGAGTATTCCTACACTCTGGTACTTCTACTTTTACTAAGTACAAGATCTGAGTACTTCTACTTTACTGAAGTACAAGATCTGAGTACTTCTACTTTTACTCAAGAACAAGATCTGAGTACTTCTACTTTTACTCAAGTACAAGATCAGAGTACTTCTACTTTTACTCAAGTACATTATCTGAGTACTTCTACTTTTACTCAAGTACATTATCTGAGTACTTCTACTTTTACTCAAGTACATTATCTGAGTACTTCTACTTTTACTCAAGTACAATATCTGAGTACTTCTACTTTTACTCAAGTACAAGATCTGAGTACTTCTACTTTTACTCAAGTACAAGATCTGAGTACTTCGTTGTCACTTTTTCAGATAACCTGCTGATAATGTGGTTTCTGCCTTTAAAGTAAGAGCCAGCAGTTTGACGTGCATTTATTTCCATGTGATGTAGAAGGGACACCACGAGTAATTAGTCCGTTCACAGATAATATGGAGACAAATCTCCCTCTATATCAGCTTAGGTTTTGTGAGTTTGATTTAAATTTGTTACAGCTCTTCATTCAGCATTTTCTTTATAGTGTATTATTTAGATTATCTAGTTATATGTCTTTCTATTGTGAATTTTTATATAATTTGTATTATATTAGTATCTTATTGTATCTTTTAAACTCATGTAATGCTGTATATTATATCTCCTTTGTTAATTCCATACAGAAAATCTTAGTCTGAAATCATTTCCCATCTGAGATCACTTGCTGTTTCCAGTCTCTGTGCTACGCTAATTAATAATACACATTTTGAATGCTAAATTAAACAAAAAAAGTTTTTTTTAAGTAGAACAGAACAAGTTTTAATTATTTTATTGAACAATTATTTGTTTCATTGAAGAACGAAAACAGGAAGTTGAGTTAAATTTTACTCATCCCCCCAACCCCACTCATTAACAAAATGCACCCCCATCCAAAAATCCCCACAAAGTCCCATTCAAAATGAAAAGAGCCCTTCTCCCTCCAAAAAGTCCGTTAAACATGCAAATCTTCCTTCAAGCAATCCTCTGCTTTTTGCTAAAGCCTTTCAGTCAATGGGCTCTTCCTGGGCCTCATCAACATCCAACGGCCCGTCCACACAGCGGCGTGCGTTGAAGCTTCCAACGCTTCTGCCCATTCACTTTGAATGGGATGACGTCACTTTTAGCCGAACTGCATTTTGGGAAGTGACGTAGAGCGTTGCTGGCTTCAAAAGTTGAGCAATGTTCAACTTTTGACGCCTCGATGGAGGGCGTCAGCCAATGAAATCCCGTTTATGCAAATCTGCCAGTACAAGCGCTAGCCAATCAAACCGCGTGTATGCTGGAGAGACGACGCAGGTCATTTCCTCATATTCAAAAAAATGGAGGGAAAATTCATTGTAGCGGTAGAGAATCACCCGGTGCTGTATGATCAGTCTCTGTTCATCTACCGGGATACAAACCGGAGGAGCGAGGCATGGAGGGAGGTGGCAGAG